ACATTTCATTTCATTTCCTAATCCGGTTATACAGTATACCTAGCCCTCTTAAGAGAATCACGGAGTTCAGCAATAGAAAACTTGTCATTATAACATTTATTATTATGGGAGTTGAAATTGTGTCGCCTTTTCTCCTCTTGATATTTAATGCCCCGAAATGCATCGGAGGAGAAATTGGATGATGAATTGAATGAAATTGTACTGGCCAGAGAATTAGCAATATCAGGAAATGTTGTTAAGGTGGTATTATCAACATTTAGATGGTTAACTGATAATGCATTACTTTTACCTCGAATCCTATCCCATACCGATTTGGAAGTGGTATGGGAATTTATTCGTGAGACATAACCCTGCCATGAAGACTTCTTTGCTTGGCGTATGGTTCTACGGGCCTTCGCCCGGACCATTTGGTATGCTGCAACATTCTCCGTGGAAGGGTGATTCTCAAGGTGTCTTAAGATACGATTTGCAATCGTTATTCTTCGGAATCGCCTGCTCAGATACATCCCGAAGAATTGAAGTGAATAAGGCCAGGGGTTCATCTGCGTCTTTTAACTCTTTTGCATTAAACAAGAAGAGACACAAAGATTCAAAAAGAGCCCAATCAGCCTTATGTAACTTCCACCTCTGCGGTCACTACCACACAGATCTTCATTTACTCTCCATGTAAAATCCTAAAACAGGACCGGAGAGCAAATAGTTAGATCAAGAGAAGAAAAGAAGCTGTGGCAGGATGTAGATAAGTAGGCGAGTCATCATTTAATAAAAACAAATTATTAATAATTTGATTACCTCTGTTATTATCATCTGGACTACCCCAGAGTGAATGATGACCATTGAAATCTCCCGTAATTATAAACGGGAGGGGAGGTTGTGCAACAAGGTCATCAAAATCTCTGGGGTTCAGATGTAATTCTATTGAATAATGGAATTAGCCATTTTCAGGGAGGTTTAACAGGACTTCTGTGATGTTGTTTGGGGTCATGTATTTCTACAACAACATCCATGAGATTGTCCTGTATCCCGAACCTGTTATAGGTTCCGACATGATCCTCGTCACCCTTCCTACTGCGGAAGGAATTCAATTTTGAATTTTGAGGAACGCCTTTACCATTACGTTCCTTTTCTTTTATTGCTTTGGGTGACTTTCCACCAATTGGTTGAGGAGTGGGGGGGTACAATCTCCTCAATCTCAGCCCGAGTGCCGAGAGTTTTATTGTTATTCTTAGGTGGAATAATAGGTTTCGCTTGTGACGAGGAATCTTCTGTCTCGGCTGAAAATTCAAAAGGCGGTTGGCAAGCAAATGAAGTGGTCTTTGGCTTGACTGCATTTGCAAAAGACATTGCAAATGTTGGGGTTGTAGCCTCAACCAACTTCCTAGCTTCAGGATACGATATGTTTTTTTTTCGTTTTTACCTGTTGAACTTGTTTTTCTTTTTAACATCGAGCACACATCGCTTTTTCTTACAAACATTTTTGCTATGACCAAAGTGTTGACAATGAAAGCAACGCAATGGATTTGGGATGTACGGGCTAACTGCAATGGCAAGAAAGCCAGCCTTGATCATCCTATGGAGATCTGGATTATCAAAGGTCAGGATGTAGATGTTGGTTTGGATAATATTGCCATTACGTCTGATGGAAATTCTTTTGACGTAAGTAACACCTTGTGAGGCGAGATTTTCAAGCATTCTTCCTCACAGCTGCCTTCTAAATCCTGAGACCGCATAACACCCCTTGAAGAATTAAGGGAGTTATGCGGTGCAATTTTGATTGGAATGTTGGCTAAAGTTGTTGATTTTAATAATGATGAAGCATGCGATTCTTTAGCACATTCCACTAACAGAGTACCATTTCTCATTTTCTTAACGCTTTTAGGCTCGCCAGCCAAGCCGGCAAGACCTTAAGCAATCAAGAAAGGAGAGGTTTTAGCTAAGTTGGTGTCATCTGTACTCTGTACAACCAGAAATCTAGGCCAGGTTCGGGAAGATTTATTGGGTATATTGTTAGGATCCAATTCCTCGGTCGACGTACGTTTCAGAGAACGAGTCTTCTTTGATTGGGATGTCATGAGAATAATTTAAAAGATTCATTCCTGCCTGCTCTCCAACCACCAAAGGGTTGCAATATCCATACAGGCTACTGCGCGGATATCCAGCTCATGCGCCCTAAGAGGACAGACAGGGGTATACCTAGACAACGTAAAGATGTAATAGTTTTACTTTATCCAGTTGACCCAAGCCGCTGCTTTAGAGTAGGCACTCAGGACACAAAGGTAGAACTGCAATAAATACATTACATATTTATGGGAAATATGCGCCTACTCGTCAGCTAAACACGACCAAAGCCGATTGATCAGGGTGGGCCAATCTGACCTCCCGTCTAGGTGAATTGTGGGCCGAAGCAATGTGTTGCAGCGACAGGGCTCGCAAGCCAAATCCCCGCTCAATTACCAGGATTCCACTCTCCACCGACACGGGTCGCAACGCACGGCAAACACGTTGCCCCATTACAGGGATCCTTTTAGTCGTCTTTTACGACACGCAGGACATACGAAGGGTGTATTCTTATCAACCCCTACACCCCAGGGGGGGGGGGGGAACAGAAAACCTGCGTCGTACCGGGGTTGTCTGTGCAATAACATGGACACAACTCATTTAGTTCGATTGAATAATAAATCCCCGGTAGAAAATGGGATTTTAACAGAATTAGCAAGTTTTAACGTACATTTGACACACGAGGAACGCTATCATCTGTTTACAAAAGGTAAGAATGAGTGAATTATTTTTGGTTTTAAAAATTAACATTCAGTTCAATTTCCCGATAATGTCACCGTGTGTATAGAAGTTATTTTGAGAACAACCCATGTTCTTTTCCATGGAACCTTATTGAATTGGGGGTTGGGAGAAAACCACCAAAGGATATTTTTCAATGAAGATCGGGACAATTACATGTATCTTGGGAGAATTTAGCCTGAATATTTTTGGGAACAAATATCAAAAATTAAACACGTCCTTCTATTTTTTAGAACCCTGAGATTAGGCTATCCCTCGATCTGGACAGAGCAAAGGCGACCCCCCCCCCCCCAATAATAATTTCAATTTTACAACGTTTGAATCCGTCTGTGTTGTATATACATGTGTGTAAGTGGAGAAATCTATCTTTTCATACCTTTTGACATTGCTCTTTCCACGTACAAGTAAGCCCTGCAAGTTGAAGCATGGATAGAAAAATATTTGTTTCTTTTTGATCCTTCCTAGGAATTTTATGTGTATGTCTTCCCATTATTTTCTTATTAATGTAACATGGGCATAAAAAACGGTATATATTTTATATTTCTGAATTTACAAACATCAGAACAACACAAACAAATTTAAGGAGATCAGATACACAATGAATTGAAAGTGACTGTAAAAACAGTTCAGCCAATACAATGTAGAAATAAAAGTATGCTGTACTCCCAACGCAAGAAATGAAATCCGAGATATACCCCGATCCTTACATGAAACATGTCACAATTTGTCGAGAAATAGAATCTAACTTGTAACACAGAAAATTGTGTATTTACATCTATTATTAAACATTACCTGTATATTATGATTAACTGCTGGTGTGTGCTGATACATGAATATGCTACGTTACCTTTGTGACCTTAATGTCGTTCGTAAAATTCGGTGATTTCGGATTCGTAAAACGTTTTGAAAATATATTTAATCAAAGCTGCCACCCATTTTTTTTTTGCGGGGGGGGGGGGGGGGTTAGGTCAAAGTTTCAGAAAGATCCTATGGTTAGATTCTGAGAAATCCGATTTGCAGAAAGTACACACAAAATAATAATAACCCGAGTTCAGCCGCTGCCTTGGCAGAGGGGCAGAATGGTGGATTTAATATAGTAATAGTTCCAGTATAATCTAGTCCTAGTTGTAGACTAGTTCTTAGATGTGTTTCTGTCGTAGTAATAGTTCCAGTATATTCTAGATTCTGTAGTATTGATGTATGTATGTAACTTCTGTTCCCGTTGTAAATAAATCCTATATTTACTAAACTGGTCTACTGTTATACTATGTGTCCTGTCTGTATACATTGCACTTTCGGTGCGAGAAGACGAGAAAGATATAACGGTAATAACGCAAGGGAAAAGGAAGTTGAGGGAGAGGTGGCATAAGTCTTTTTTAAATGCTAGTAAGCCAGAAGTCAATAAGGCCAGGAAAGCGGAGCGAGAATTCAAGGAAAAATAATCTCGCGTTCTTGGGGCGATATTCTCATACCCTTGCTGTCCCTTACGCTCTCGCCAGTTGCATTTACGGTGAGAAGTCGAGATTATAAAAGGGACACGGGGTCACATATACATGTAATATCATATTGTTTATACGATGAAATGGCGACTAGACAACGGGAACTTATACAGCAGTGTGAAATGTACGTTCAGTTGTCGCAGTTTAACACTTTTCATGGTTGCGCTACATTCATTGGACATATTATTGTTAAAAATCAGTAATATTACGCACATTTTATTTCTTAATTTGATATTTTATTAACTATACCGTTCAAAACGACCTTGCTTGGTTAAGTACACTTAAATCTCGCTGTCCGCAAATATATTCCCTTGCTTTCACAAGGTTCTATAAACATGTGTTGAGTGGTCAGGATCGCGATACTTTGATAAGGATTAAATTTTAACAAAATTAGTCAGTCAGTCAGCCCGGGAACGACCAGAGGGCTTGTTTAACGCGACTAATTTAAAATTCCAATTACATTGACAAACTCCCAAAACTCAAAACAAATATGGCGGACCGCATGAAATAAATCAATCTTTTTTAATTCACAGTGCATAACTATATATAGCTTTCAAAACAATTTTAAATAAGGGGCACCCTACACAAGCCGAGCACCCTGGTATTAGAAAATTAAATAATATATATATATTTTTTAGGTTGACCGTGGGATATAATTGAAAGCTGTATATTCATTTATGTGTGAAAATCCTTCTTTGGAGGTTGAGAACACTGACGAAATTATGGGCCAACGTAAGCAATTGAAATCGAAAAGATGCAAGGACCATCCTGATACAGCATCAATACCTTGCACAAGCCCAGGAAGCACTGAAACGTTGGTAAAAGGGGAACTTACATCAAATGAAAGTGGAACTGGTGAGTTGGGACATAGCTCACCATTATGCGAAAACCAACGAAACGAAAAGTGTCACTTGAGAGGTAAACACCAAATGATTGCATCTGAACAAGTAAAGGGAAATGTTGCAAAAAACATGGAAACCGACGAACTACAAACGGCTGAATCGAACCTACTTCAAAGTTCTGGCACAAAAGCGGAACTGGACCTACCTCAATGTTCTGCCACACAAGAGACTATATTACTAGCACAATCATCTGGGCAAGATCAACCAAAAGAACATTTGGGAACTGGCAACAAAGAACTCGGAGAGAAGGTTGAACAACAAGAAAAAGAAAAGGGTACTTCGGAAGATGATAATTTAACAGTTCCAAGGTTTGAAGGTGGAGAAGCTGAAACGAAAATTGGTGAGTTATTTAATATAATATCGTAGTCATTTATCCTGATTGATTTTGTATCTGTCCCCCTTATTAGGGTTATGTTGTTACACCATTCCAAATGTCGATGAGTAAAGTCATATTACTTACCAGAGAAAACTGTAATTATAAAAATGAAAGCAGATATTGCTACAATTTGTGTTCTGTCAAGTTCCCTGTACTGAGTCCAGCATAAACTAATAACTTATAAATCTTAATCTATGATCGACCCAAGACCACCTATGAATACACTATGTTGAAGTGTGCAAGAAGGGATACATACACTCTGGCGAAGAAGCTTAGCCAAAGTGATAAATAGACTCGATAAACACGTTGATAAGTGTGCTAAATACACCCCGTTGATGTGTACAAGAGGATTTTATTGAAGTGACCAAAAGACAGAAGTGACAATGAAGTGATACATCATGTTCACGTCAAACAGAAGTGTTTAAGAAGTGATCAATTTGACGTGTTCCCGACGTGCACTTCATGGAACTCTAATTTTCATATTTGATATGGCTTTATCGTCACTCCAGCCTTAGTCTCGATCCAGAAAAATATTCTACGAATATTCGTCTGGATGCGTTGTCAGCATTTGAGAATAATGGGTCCTTGGCTTGATTATCCGGTCTTTTACATTATCTTAAACAGTAACTAAGGGAGGTAACTCGTCCCATGACGCCCACCAAATTAATTTAAGAATACCATTCCAAATAATCCATTTGATTGTAAAAGTTCTCTCCTCATGGGTCATAACTATGTGTTTAAAATTAATTCTAATTCGTCGTCACGATTCATGTTAGTTTATAGTAATGCAAGAATTTCGTATTGTAAAAGGTCTCTCTTCATGGGTCATAACTATGTGTTTAAAATTAATTCTAATTCGTCGTCACGATTCATATTAGTTTATAGTAACGCAAGAATTATGGGATTTATTGCGGGAAGGGGCGCAACTTTTACTTGACTTGGCCAAAGATACTGGATAATCAACCACATTAAAAACCAAACCCCCGGTTACGCATGGGCATTGGACTTTACGTCAAATATTGATAACGGTCCCAGACCCTCATGTAAGGTTTTCGTTGTTCACCCGAGTCACTCGAGTCGACACCAGACCGTTCGCGTTTTGAATCGAGTAGGTCACGTGATTGACTCGAGTCGCATCACGTGACTAACCCGTTTACTCCCCGTTGAGCGGAGAGTAAAAGGGTTTGTCACTTGACAAAATGGCGTCCTATCCGCAAAAAAGCCTGTAAAGTGTCTCGCCATTTTGTTTTGATGTCATGTGACTACTCGGACCGTTCGCGATGGAGTCGACTCGAGTGACGCTGGTAAACGACCAAAACCTTACCTCAGTACGTTGGAGATTAGGAGGTTCTGGGTGCCCGCGACTACTTCAGCTTTTATTAAATATTTGAAGTGTAGTAGAACACTTCAGATATTAAATTTATAACTTCAAACATGTCTCGCCAAATCTCACCAACACGTCATCGCTTCATTTGCGCAAGGGATTGAATCAGTAATTGATTTTCGCCCTAGCAGTAGCCGCATCACCCAAATGAAAGTCGAATCAATGCATGGGCCCCTTTGGGACACAGGTTTACAAATTCATACTTGTTTATGAAATTGATAGCAATATAAGGCCAAAGCTAATATATTGCTACACATGGGCTAGGAATTAAATATTGATTTGCATCACAAATATTCAAGAACAGGCACACGAAATACGAATCCAAAAGGAATGTTCAACAAACAAAAAACAAAACCATTTATGAACATGCTGGACTAGTCGAATTTACAGGTCTGAGCATTACGAGAAATAAAATAGGGTCCTTCATACATATGCATTCGTGCATTTGGAATTTCTTTTCTGGTGAAGAGAAGTGTGCCCCTTTACACAGAGGGCTGCTATTTTGAGGTGATGGCGTAAACCGGAAGTCTCCATCCTATATAAGCAATTTCGGATAACAAAATGAGTTCTAAGGACAGAGACGAGACAATAACAGAGAATGCGTAGCAAAATTGCCCATTTAAGGGGTGACTGGCCTGTAATTGGCATGCAAGCCCGGAAAACTATCCTCCATCATCCCTGGAAGTTCGCAGGTCGTATCGTTATTAAAGACCTATCGGTAAGCTTATTTAACTATCCAATCCTACCCCTTCACATTGGAGATTAGTGTCTTAATAATCATCTGAAATAAATTACACAAATTGTATTATAGCTTCAATACATAATTATTTATCATAAAGAATGTATATCGTCTTGCTAATCCAGAAATAGTAGATTTCGGTCAGGTGGAATTGGGTGTACCGACCCTTTGGAAATCAGATCGATTACAAACGAAGAACGAGGAAACAGCTGAAAAGCTCGACGATTCGCTACAATTGGCTGTATTTGATGGAAATAAACCTGGGGGTGCCTTTGGACCAAACCCTATCACAGAAGAAAATGAAAAACTGAAACAAGAAAACGAAAAGCTGAAACAAGAAATCGAAATGCTAAAACAAGAAAAGGGTAGAACAAACGAAGTTAAAGTTAAATCAGGTTTGCAACCCGGTAAGATGTTATTGATCCTCATTATGTGCTGAGACTTAAAAATATCGTTTTTGGTTTGAGCAATCAATTATAATTGCATTGTTATGTGTGCAGAAGTATTATATTTTCTTCAATATAGCTGGAAAGTAAAATTTTGCACAAATTTTCGGAAAAATATTAGCGCAACCCGAGATTGAGCGCTCGTAATGTCTCACGATTTTTAAAAAAATGTGAACAGTGATAACGATAAGAATGTTCAAAGCTGTTTAAGAAATAAAACAATTAAAATTTTAACAAAAACACTAATATTCTGAATATTTACTAATTCATCTCCACATTTTCTTGTAATTTGCGCCAGAATGTTTCAAAATTCTATATTTTACTACGATATTAGAGTAATTCACCAAATGCATCGGTTTAGAATGGTATATAGATTTAGTTTGCACGGAATTGTTGTATGTTACAGTTGCAATACCTTTAATAAAGCGAAATGGTTGTATGCTACAAGAGGATCAACAGAAGTTTATTAGAAAAATGCAGTTTCTTACTGAACAATTAAATCCAAGGGATCTAATTACCACGATGTTTTCAAAGCTTCTTATCAACGAAGATGAAGCTGAAAAACTTAGGATAATACTTGAGAATGAGGGCAGGAAAATGTGTGCCGAGAAAATGCTATTGATGTTATTGAGATGTGGCAAATATGCCTATAGAATTTTCCTGAAGTGTTTAGAACTAACAGGATATACGAATGTTATAAAGGAACTAGAACCAAACTGTGGTAAGTAGCATTCGTTTGCCTATGCAACTTCCTTGTTAACTTCTGCAATACAAATCAAAAAAACCAAACTGTATTAAACCCTACCTCAGGCCGTCAAATACACATGGATGTTTGGTAATGATTGAATCTATGCAATCTGTACTGATGTTGTTCCCGAAACGTTCAGGAAGTGTTGTAAAACGCTCTATAATGAATAGTCAAATGTAACAAGACATGAACATGAGAACAGAGGCGTTACAATGGACATTTGTTGTTTTGTGCATTAAACATAATTAAGATATATTTTATGTATAATATAATACCATCTTCATTAACCCAGTCGGAGTAAGACATTAGACGATAATAATTGTCCCTAATAACGGAACACGTGACATAGCTTACGGAGCTCAGTAACCTTCCATTTTATTTATGATCATATTTGTATTTCGATTGTAACCTCCGCCCCCATTATCGGGTCATAATGTACAAAATTACACATACGCCTGTTACCATTATCTTTTAGAAATATTTGAGGGTAAATGTAAATATCCTGGACACCAGTATGATGAATTGATTGACAACAGACATCCAAAGCGCGAAGAGTTTATCAAAAAGATAGAAGAAGAATTACAAGAAATATACCCTTCAGCGGATATTTTGGGCATTACAAACTTGACGTAAGTAATCGTTTGCTATTTCCGGAACACCAGATAACAGTTTTCAGTTAATTTACTTTGACGTCTAAGACTGGCAATATGTGGGTGTCCAATTGTCAGTTCTGAACGTCCGATTCAAAGACATTACATTCGACTGAGACGTGGGCTAATCGACCTGTTCTGACCACACTTCGTAAGCAACGACAAAAACATACAATAACGTTTTTAGATCAGTAGGTCCTAAAGTACCATTTCATTTCCAAAAGTATTATATCAAGAGTGACAAGAACATATATGTTGAAATATGCACATCATATCCTTAATTTAAATGATGTTATACATCCTCGGTTACCCAGTGTACTCATTCCGTTCTACTCCACTATACCCTGGGTTAATCCATAGGGTTTCCACGATTTCAAATTATCTGCCCTGGCCTAGAATGTAGCTACAGTCTACGAACCAATCAGAAAACAGTTTACAAACCAATCGTTTCGCCTTCGTTTTCATAAGGGTAGATAACCATATTCATGTCCATTTACTGAATGATTTATGTAAATAATGTATATATTTATAATTTATTTATATTTAATTGTATTATCAAAATCTGTAGTATGTGTTGTCGATTTCAAATATGTATAACATCTATATGTTCGACCTTTGTTATTATTATTACTATTCGTTCTTTGTCTGAAATATGTCATTCTGTTATGTTTATTATTATTGAACTTATACTTGGCAATTTGATTCACAATAACTTGTCTACGATATCACGTGGACATAGGACATAAAATTCTGGGAACGAATTAACGATTCGAAATAAAACTAATGACCCTACATTATTATATGAACGTCAGGTCTTCATTAACATAATATATAATTGGTTGTTAATAATTACGCATTTAGAATAGGCCAACTTCTAACATTGTCCGATGAGAGTTACTTCCCTTTGCCAACTTCCTTTTCAAATAACAATTTATGGGATTGGTCGATAAAAGTAGCACAATCAGCAAGGGCGGATAATTTGAAAACGTGTCTCCCCCATAGATTAACCCAGGGTATAGTAGAGTAGAACTGAATGATTACACTGGGTAACCGAGGATGGATGTTATAAGACATTAACAGAATTATGCATTATTTGTATTTGGCGGTTACTGTCAGTGATTGGTAAAATATTGGCGAAATTATGCATAAGTGAAACTTTAACAAAGCGACATATTACCGTCGGGTTATTTCTAAAGCTATATGTTATACATTCATATCCCTTGATTAATTTCAGTCTTATGCTCTCATGTATTGGTAATACATCTTGAGCATACGGCGTTTCCATATTAGTTTGTTAAAATAATGTTTTACAGTGGGGGTTGTGTTCTGGTCACGTTCCATCTGATATCACTAGGTTCAAGGACTGAAAGCGAACTTCGTGAAGTTTTAGAATCAAAGGTGAATTCTGGATATATTGGTGATAACAAAGTATCGACAGAGGGATTTTCATTTAAGAAAATCGAAGGAGGTATTCATTGATTAATAATAATAAGTCCATTGATATCGCGTTAAATCCACATATAGTCGTGCTCATGGCGCTACGAAAAACAGAACCAGTCTTTTAAATATTCCTCAAATATTTATAAAATAAGTATGTTTTCTGTCGGGAGTCTAATGATGGACAGTATCTAAGTTTTTCAGGTTCCACATATTGGAACCAACAACACGAAATGGACAACAAGGTTGTTCTTAATACTTGATCTTAGAATTTTGATGGCATGTAAGGTACTACAGGTTCTCTTAGATAAAATGTCACTACACAGTGCACACATCGATATGTAAGATACATCAATTGGAAGTCAATTTTCGCTTGAACTGAAAGTCAGTGAAGTAAAAGGGTGGTACTGTCTCTCAAATAAGTTCGCGTTACGATCTGCGCAGCTTTGTTTTGTATGCGCTGCAGCTTATAAAGTGATGTTTTATGTATTCCCGCGAGTAAACTCCCGTTTTCTGAATTTCTTTTCATGTATTTGCAAATCACCTAAATTGTTTTCTAATCATATTCTTGTTCTTGAATGTAATTTGTTGGTTATATTTATGGTATATCATTTGAAAAAAACAAAACTATATGATTATACCTGATTTTGCCTTTATACTTTCACCTCATTCTACAACAAAGACAAAGGTGAGGAAATGAGCTCTGTCGGAAGTGTGGTTCAAGATACGCAACTCATAACCGAGCAAAACTTTAACCAACTACAAGGAAAGATTGCTGAATTGCAGGGGTTTAATTTGAGATTGCTACAACATATTGCTGAATTAGAAACAGAACTTGAAGAAGGTGGGTTATGAGAGAACACAATAATACTTAAACCAATTCTGGCTTTCCAACAACACAATGGATTATGCGATTGTTATCGAAGCAATATTGTTTTAATTTATAAAAACAAATGACCACCAACCTTTACATGGAGTTAAAACATACTATATTATGGTCACCTGAAAACTCATTGCATATTACAAACATCCACATTTCTCATGTAGGGGGGGGGGGTGAATGGTTAGCCCGTGCGCGCTGCATCAAAAGATATGTCATTGAGTCAACTGGCAATTTCGATTCCCCGGGTGTACGTGACAAGGAGTAGGGTCGCATGTCCAAATAAAATTGAACCATATATTAGTCCCAAAATGACCTAGTTTGTGTCGCGTAGACGTTCGTTTAATCACCCTCTCTCTCTATCTCTCTCCCTCTCACACACACACACACCCACACTCATATTTCTCATGTACAAAGCTTATAAACTCTATTAAATTGATAGGCTACCAAAATAAGTACCATGGAAACCATTTTATAATTTCTGACTTCACATAGCGAGCAGCCTTTAGTTGAGAAGTCGAGGCGCAAGAAGGCAAGGAACATGAAGTTAAGAATGCAAATAGGTCACAACAGGTTTCCATAGTTTACAATAAGAGATAAATAAACAATGGACATTGTTCAAGAAAGATGCAAGTGCCTACGCTGTTGGCATTTGGGGGGTTGGATGACCGAATGGTTAGCACGTGCGCGCTGTATCATAAAGCCTGTCATTGAGTCAACTGGCGTGGTATCGAACCCCCGGTTGTACGTGACAAGGAGCAGGGTCGCCTGTACAACCTCATGGGTTTTCTCCGGGTTTCCTCCCACTGCTAAAGACCCCTACGCGCAAGCGAGTTATTGAAATAAAAAATTAAAACCATATGTTAGTCCGGAAATGACCTAGTTTGTGTCGAGTGGGCGTTAAACCCCATTTCTCTCTCTCTGTTGACATTTTTAAATAATATTCAACAATTAGTACGACAAAAAGCTTATTTATGACGACAAATTATTCTGGCTTGAATAGACGTATTGCTGCTTTAATATATTGTGAGTACTAAAGGAGACTGTTCATATATCGAAAGTACTTTGAGAGACCAATTATATGGATGATACGTAGATGAATTATTAATATATCTATAGACGGGTAACCCTATACGAGTTCTCGCTTTAAAAGTATGCATTAAAACATGTTTTTTTGGAAATTGCATTTTTAAGCTGAGGTAAAATCTAACAAAAGAATGATCGACCTTGAAAATGAAAACCAAACCTTGAAAGAACAGATTTGCGTGTTACAAGAACAACTACTTGGTCAACAGAGAAAATCCGACGAAAAAGTGCCCGGTATGTTCCTAGTAATATCAAATGTAAAACCATGAGATATCAAAGCACATTTCGTGGGCTAAGAAATAAATGGACCTCTCTCCACTTCTGGTCAAAATTCATATTCCACTCTAAATATACTTTCAATGTTAAGAGCTTCTATTCCCTCATAAATGCATACACAGGTACTGCGAAATCAAGGCCAAACGGCCAATCATCTTTCTGTAAACTTATACCAAGCTACAGGAATTCGAGTTACACCCCAAACGATTAGAAATGTGGATACTCTAGGTGCCACACATTTGATACGATATTCGCGTATATCGGATCGTAACTTCCTGGATTATGATCCCTGATTATACGAAAAATCAAATCGCGTTTTTAGATTGTTCCTCTGGAGGTCAGAATTTTTATTTGATTTTAACAAACGTCCAAATGTATCACCGTTACACCCTAATGACTGTTAGTGTGTTAGTATCAATTCAAAAGCGATATCAACTATTCCAGCATTTAATAGTGTCAATGACTCCTTTTTGAGGAACCACAGAGAGTAGGTGAAGGGAAAAGCTACCATACTCGACTTCATACGACCTGTTTAGGAGAAGTAAATAATAATAATAAAAAAATCACGTAAAAATCTTTGATCCAAATGTCCTGTCGATGAATGCTATCAAATCATTGGCGAGGTGAAGTTGGCCCTGTATCCGACCATTCCCTCGCTACCTCCGACCGTAATGGTAAGTGAACGTGAGGTGGTCGACTAGCATTGTTTGACAAGCGAGTAGGGTGTTGACTGGTTTGTGAGATTGCGCATGATAATGTAAACCCCCCTTTCGAGCTCTTTTCTTCATCTTATATTTATTAGTGTACTAATACAGTCGGGGTATCAGACCAGTGTTGTAATATATTGACACTGTGAATATTGACTTTCCAGAATCAGCAATCTGATGATTAAGATACAGATCTATATTTCGTTTCGTTTTTGTTTTTGTTATACTTTTGATGGCCTACACTGCATGAAGATTTGACCGGTTGTAGTGAAAGGTCGCGTCAGAGGTTGTATGAACGGCTTTCGACCCTATGACATCAGACTTTGATTAATCAATCAGCGTTTACCCACATTTCCGTTCATCGCCCGCCAAGAAGTCGCTGTAACAGATGATTGCATTAGCTAACCCCTCACGCCATCCAGAACTCAGGTTATATAACAACTTTTCCAGATCCTGATATAGTACAGACAAATAAAACGAAATTTTAAACTATAAAAACGAAACGAAATAGAATCTGTGTTTTAATCAGAATCAGTCAACTCTATAAATCCCTGATTCATTGATAATTCAAGCATGGTTAAATGGACAATAAAACCCGATAAATACGAAACAGGAACGTGTTTATCGATATTGTAGCTCAAATATTTAGGGATTTCGTTCAAAACTATTTAAGAAATATTTTTACACCCATTTTAAAAAGTCGGTATTTGACCATGCGTTCGCGTCGCTGGTAAATGAATTTCGAACGAAAATGTTATACAGATATCGCTAAAGAAATATATTTTTAACGATTGAAGAATTTTAAAAGAATGGGAGATTATTCTTGTTGTGGTGTTTCGGCTAGAAATATCATCCACGATCGAAAAAGTTCCGGCCTGCTAACCGAGGTTAAAGAGGAATAACTCTTGGCAACAACGATGACTTTACTTTGAAGGTTTCAGTATAACTTTGGTGAGTTTTTTGCCTATATTATTTTATTTTCAGACCCTTATCACAATTTTGTAGCTAATTCTTGTTCAGACAATTGCAGTTTTCTGCTTACACACTCAAACACATTATAAAACTACGTGATGTCTATGATTCGAGCGGTTGCTATGTTAGTTACGTTAGTAACGGATTCTTAGCGGTCTATTTTTCACCTTGATTCTTCTTTGTTCGCCAAAAGGAATCCTTTCTTGCCACATATTCGACACAAATTTATAAAAATACAACACTATTTTCATGTAGATTTAAGCGATCCAAAAACACAAATAAGATGATCGTTTGAATCGATCCGCCATTATGAAACTCACGCCTGTGCAGACCGGAGTTTATGGGTTCATAGCTGTGCTCAGCCAATATTCCAAATTTAGGCATGGAATGTTATAGAATTACCGTCCACGAAAATACTTGATGAACTTCAATTAACGGACAAAACTGTCAGTATGGATACCACTATAGTTTATGTATTCAAGATACATAAACTATTACATATAATTGAAGTACAGCAAGAATTGTCGTTCATGATAACATTCCATTCCTAAATTTGGAATACTGACCGAGCGGTGAAAAATAGACGGAAAGGATTCCTAAATAGCCTTAGAGCCGAGATGTTTTAAAAGCCTAATTTTCATATTAGTTCTGTATAGAATCAGCGAGTAACAGATAGCGGACAGTGTCCGATAAGGATCCGTTACTATTGCTGCGCTAGTCAGGATTTGATCAAAGCGTGATTTAAAAATTCAACTTGATTATGTAAACGTTGGTGCGTGAAGCTAGCGTACTGAAAAGGAAAACAAGATTGTCCATACTGCCGCTGCTTAATTACGAATAACAATTTAGGAAATCTAAAAATGGTTTTATTTAATTTATGACTGATTTTCTACTGTTTTATGTATTTCAGGAATGTGTTTTTATAACAGTTGACGTTTGAAAATGGTGTAATAGTCATGTGTGCAGAACTGTTTGAAGATATTTGTCAATAAAGATTTGAATTGAATTAGATCATTGAGCACAAAAATGAAAAAAATTAGACTGTTATATTTATTCGCAGTAATTCGCCTTGATAATTTAGAGGGGGTTTATTATACAAAGAAAATTTCTCATTTGTACTACAATTAACAAATTATCACAGTGGTAAAAAGTAATGCACGCAGGGGTGGTGTGGAAATGATATAATTAGTGTTCAGGTCTAAAGATAAATAACGACATTTCATATTGATTCCAGGAGCCACTGACAGTAGCCATGACACGAAAACCACCCGTGGCAAAAGAAGGAGGAAACGAAAAGGTATTAAACAAGTTTTTTTTTTATTGTTTTATTATTTTTTATAGTGCCTGCAGATGTTGTAAAGGACAGACCCTTCATGACTATATACATTATTGAACATGGACTTGTATTCACTGGAAATTGTCATACACATAAAAAAAACATATAGATACAGAATAAGATACATTGTCATACAGGTGCTAGACCATATGGTCTACTACAGAGCTATAAAGAAACTGTTGTTATGGGGGATCCATTTTTCAGAATGTATTTTTGATTACTTACTGTCTATTTACCATAGATATTGAGGCCTAAGTATATTCTTAATTATTTTATGTCAATTTCTTTTCCGTCGTTTAATTGTAATCTTTTGTACGTTGACATCCCTCAATGTTCATAAAACCGCCTAACCATTTGACAAAGAAATAACAGCCGCTCCCTCAGTCAAGCTCGCACACAATAAGCTGACAGACAACAGTCGGGTTGCCAGTTAGTGATACCATGACATGAGTATTTTTCTAGTAAGATTGGGTGTCTATACTTTCCATATATACCAAATTTGCCATATTTTCATTGTAATTAACAACCCGACAAATACTTTCGGGACAATGTATCTTTAAAGTACATGTTTTGTGTCAGCTAACATTACATATGTGATACAACTGGTTAAACACATTTCAAATATAATATTTGGAATGTGTTGAACCAGTTCTGTCACATATGTAATGTTAGCTGACACAAACATTATAATCTTAACAGACACAGCTACACACCTTTGGGAAATGAAATGTCGTGTACATTATCTCGCCTTGTCACATTTCGTATCCAATACACAAATCAAAGTTAATTACACTAAATATGTGTTCTCCGCAGGAACAACAATTGATCACATGATAAAATCACATCACACGTCTTGTGTTACAAGAAAAAACAAAGTTCTTTTTACACAATAGAAACCAAAATGTGTGTGATCAATAGCGGAAAGCATGGAAGTAAATCAAGATAGGATTTTATTTCAAAAACATAGCTATGACGCCATATTGAAATCTTTCAATACGTTATAATGAGGAATACAATTTGTCAATACATTACTACTGTCTGTTATCCGAGCACCAAGAAGCTTTACAAAACACCATAAATTATATTTATTATAATTTTAGTGGTAACAAAATATAACATTAATCCCAAGATCAACAATTAAACGAACCCGGACCTCACATAAAACTATACACATAACTAATTATTAATACAATATATAAAATTTTGTATCAGAGAGATATACAAATGTGACAATGTTGGAGCGGGGGCAAAGTGAAGTTGGCAGAATTTTCGGAATTTGGGAATTGAACCATATATTAGTCCCAAAATGACCTAGTTTGTGTCGCGTAGACGTTCGTTTAATCACCCTCTCTCTATCTCTCTCTCCCTCTCACACACACACACACCCACACTCATATTTCTCATGTACAAAGCTTATAAACTCTATTAAATTGATAGGCTACCAAAATAAGTACCATGGAAACCATTTTATAATTTCTGACTTCACATAGCGAGCAGCCTTTAGTTGAGAAGTCGAGGCGCAAGAAGGCAAGGAACATGAAGTTAAGAATGCAAATAGGTCACAACAGGTTTCCATAGTTTACAATAAGAGATAAATAAACAATGGACATTGTTCAAGAAAGATGCAAGTGCCTACGCTGTTGGCATTTGGGGGGTTGGATGACCGAATGGTTAGCACGTGCGCGCTGTATCATAAAGCCTGTCATTGAGTCAACTGGCGTGGTATCGAACCCCCGGTTGTACGTGACAAGGAGTAGGGTCGCCTGTACAACCTCATGGGTTTTCTCCGGGTTTCCTCCCACTGCTAAAGACCCCTACGCGCAAGCGAGTTATTGAAATAAAAAATTAAAACCATATGTTAGTCCCGAAATGACCTAGTTTGTGTCGAGTGGGCGTTAAACCCCATTTCTCTCTCTCTGTTGACATTTCTAAATAATATTCAACAATTAGTACGACAAAAAGCTTATTTATGACGACAAATTATTCTGGCTTGAATAGACGTATTACTGCTTTAATATATTGTGAGTACTAAAGGAGACTGTTCATATATCGAAAGTACTTTGAGAGACCAATTATATGGATGATACGTAGATGAATTATTAATATATCTATAGACGGGTAACCCTATACGAGTTCTCGCTTTAAAAGTATGCATTAAAACATGTTTTTTTGGAAATTGCATTTTTAAGCTGAGGAAAAATCTAACAAAAGAATGATCGACCTTGAAAATGAAAACCAAACCTTGAAAGAACAGATTTGCGTGTTACAAGAACAACTACTTGGTCAACAGAGAAAATCCGACGAAAAAGTGCCCGGTATGTTCCTAGTAATATCAAATGTAAAACCATGAGATAGCAAAGCACATTTCGTGGGCTAAGAAATAAATGGGCCTCTCTCCACTTCTGGTCAAAATTCATATTCCACTCTACATATACTTTCAATGTTAAGAGCTTCTATTCCTTCATAAATGCATATAATTTCGTAGAAATTATCTATGCATTTCACTTCGAGGGGTTCTATGCCCAGTTGGATGAACCCTGGGGCTGGATCTATGGTTACATTATCATCACCGTATCACCAAACACCTATTGCACGCGTTAGACAGTCATACTCCTGGCAGAGTTTCGTTTGATTAGAGCTAATCCCACTACTCACTGTTGTAAAGAAGGTAAATTCTTGTTCTAAATTATGACTGGTCAATAGTCCGATTAACAACTAATAGCTAAATGCGTAACATTACCAAACACAGCTCCAAATTGGACCAAATATGTTTACATAACGTTACGTCACGATTAATATTATTAATATATCTATAGACGGGTAACCCTATACGAGTTCTCGCTTTAAAAGTATGCATTAAAACATGTTTTTTTGGAAATTGCATTTTTAAGCTGAGGAAAAATCTAACAAAAGAATGATCGACCTTGAAAATGAAAACCAAACCTTGAAAGAACAGATTTGCGTGTTACAAGAACAACTACTTGGTCAACAGAGAAAATCCGACGAAAAAGTGCCCGGTATGTTCCTAGTAATATCAAATGTAAAACCATGAGATAACAAAGCACATTTCGTGGGCTAAGAAATAAATGGGCCTCTCTCCACTTCTGGTCAAAATTCATATTCCACTCTACATATACTTTCAATGTTAAGAGCTTCTATTCCTTCATAAATGCATATAATTTCGTAGAAATTATCTATGCATTTCACTTCGAGGGGTTCTATGCCCAGTTGGATGAACCCTGGGGCTGGATCTATGGTTACATTATCATCACCGTATCACCAAACACCTATTGCACGCGTTAGACAGTCATACTCCTGGCAGAGTTTCGTTTGATTAGAGCTAATCCCACTACTCACTGTTGTAAAGAAGGTAAATTCTTGTTCTAAATTATGACTGGTCAATAGTCCGATTAACAACTAATAGCTAAATGCGTAACATTACCAAACACAGCTCCAAATTGGACCAAATATGTTTACATAACGTTACGTCACGATTAATATTATTAATATATCTATAGACGGGTAACCCTATACGAGTTCTCGCTTTAAAAGTATGCATTAAAACATGTTTTTTTGGAAATTGCATTTTTAAGCTGAGGAAAAATCTAACAAAAGAATGATCGACCTTGAAAATGAAAACCAAACCTTGAAAGAACAGATTTGCGTGTTACAAGAACAACTACTTGGTCAACAGAGAAAATCCGACGAAAAAGTGCCCGGTATGTTCCTAGTAATATCAAATGTAAAACCATGAGATAGCAAAGCACATTTCGTGGGCTAAGAAATAAATGGGCCTCTCTCCACTTCTGGTCAAAATTCATATTCCACTCTACATATACTTTCAATGTTAAGAGCTTCTATTCCCTCATAAATGCATATAATTTCGTAGAAATTATCTATGCATTTCACTTCGAGGGGTTCTATGCCCAGTTGGATGAACCCTGGGGCTGGATCTATGGTTACATTATCATCACCGTATCACCAAACACCTATTGCACGCGTTAGACAGTCATACTCCTGGCAGAGTTTCGTTTGATTAGAGCTAATCCCACTACTCACTGTTGTAAAGAAGGTAAATTCTTGTTCTAAATTATGACTGGTCAATAGTCCGATTAACAACTAATAGCTAAATGCGTAACATTACCAAACACAGCTCCAAATTGGACCAAATATGTTTACATAACGTTACGTCATGACTTACGATTTTATTATTCCCAATTAACCAGTGCATAGCAGAATATTGCAGAAGAACTAATTGTGTGACAAACGAGCCTATCAGTACGCATATAATGTAAACAATACCGTTTTGAGTCAAACAACACTTTCACCGATTTTAATACCTTAAATCACTGTCCAAAGCTTTAGGAAAGATCCCTGATTAAAAGAAGTGCTGTCATGTTGCTGTGCTTGAGGATAGATTTGATTGAACGGGGAGAATAGACACACTCCCTCAAAAGCGCACGTTTCAGAAACTAATCCAGCAATGGCCAGAGAGGGATTTCTCGAGCCATTGCTTCAGGAATATGTAGATAGTTAGATTTCCAATGACCCTTTTTTTCCCATTATATCAGTATTGGTCCCATCGACAGACGATTCTGAGCACACTGGTAATTCATCTGAAGACGGCAATTTGTTATATGATGACTTTACTAAAAAGAATTGGCTGTTGCGAGACCACAAAAAGCAGGCTCGTGTCGGTGCATTACCTAGTGTTGTTTAATTCTCTATTTACATCATTGTATTCATATAGTTTTTAAGTGGAAGCTTGTTATTCTTGGAACGTCGTTAATGCCTTAGCTATATTTTGGATGGTTATGTCGTGATTTTTTTCAATGCGTGCGGTGGCTATTTCTTTACACACGGTGTTTTTGGTCATTGTGCATATTTCATTACGTGATGTGATTTTGTCATGACATGATGTGTATATATGCCTTGTCGGTGCACGTTGTGAGAATCACATATCAGGTATCAAGTGGTCCATACGGACCCCAGTTATAATTCAAAGTTTTTACGTACAGATATATCTGAATTAAAAGGCAGCGGTTTAGTTTTTATTTGCATTCATATTTGACAACTAAATTGTTATACAAAAACATTTTAGTGACATTTGGAAAAGATTTAATAATTCTCACTAAATTGCTACTTTGTGTACTATGTAATAAAGAGGTTAAATGGCAATTCACGCTTGATACAAAAACCACTGAATATTTGGAATTCATCATTTAATTTTTGGTATTTGTAACATGCAGATTTTAAAAGAGAGAATACTCTGACAGACGCAATATGGTATTAGGCAGCAAACACATTGGCGAAATCACTAATGTGGGATGTAAGTTAGGGGTCCGATTGGACCCCTTGTTCCCTTCAAGCGTTGGGCCTGATTTGCATGTAACAGAACTCTGCATGTGAGAAGCAGATAAATACCGAACTCTTCGCCACGTGTAAAAATGTATAGGAGACAAAGTCACAAAATTTCAGAAAGCAGTGCCCAGTAGTTATTACAAAACACTATAAAACATGTGCATGGGGTCCACGGAGACCCCACGTGCACCAACAAGGGTTAACATTACGTGGTGTAGATATTATGTTACGTGATGTCAGTTTTTCAATACGTGCTATGAGTTTAAATTATAACTACTATTTACATCATTACTACGGTTTATATAAACAACGGTTTACATTATAATTACTATTTATTTTAAAATTACTCACAGCCTATCCGTCACATTTTATCATTAAGGGTATTATGCCATATCGGTTGAACGAATTCATGTGCCCTCTAGCGATCGCAATTTTATACGCCCACATGAAATATTGTCGTCGCCCCTGTCCGTCCGGTTGTCCGTTCACAGTTTGTTTGTGGATACTCTTGAAATATAGGTTTATATTTCATCGATATTGGCAAGTATCGGATCCTTCAACATGATGAACGTCTACGTGTTATTGGCATGCTTCAAATGAGTTTTACACAGCGAGCAGTAGCCAACATGCTTAATGTGTCACAGTCTGTGATCAGCAGACTGTTGAACCGGTACCAACAAACACACAATGCTGATGATAGACCTCGTTCGGGTCGTCCTAGAGCCACTACACAAGCCCAGGATCGATGCATTCGTACACAGGTACTGCGAAATCAAGGACAACCGGCCAATCAGCTTTCTGTAAACTTATACCAAGTTACAGGAATTCGAGTTACACCCCAAACTATTAGAAATGTGGACACTCTAGGTGCCGGACATTTGATACGAGCCCAGGATCGATGCATTCGTACACAGGTACTGCGAAATCAAGGCCAAACGGCCAATCATCTTTCTGTAAACTTATACCAAGCTACAGGAATTCGAGTTACACCCCAAACGATTAGAAATGTGGATACTCTAGGTGCCACACATTTGATACGATATTCGCGCATATCAAATCGTAACTTCCTGGATTATGATCCCTGATTATACCAAAAATCAAATCGCGTTTTTAGATTGTTCCTCTGGAGGTCAGAATTTTTATTTGATTTTAACAAACGTCCAAATGTATCACCGTTACACCCTAATGACTGTTAGTGTGTTAGTATCAATTCAAAAGCGATATCAACTATTCCAGCATTTAATAGTGTCAATGACTCCTTTTTGAGGAACCACAGAGAGTAGGTGAAGGGAAAAGCTACCATACTCGACTTCATACGACCTGTTTAGGAGAAGTAAATAATAATAATAAAAAAATCACGTAAAAATCTTTGATCCAAATGTCCTGTCGATGAATGCTATCAAATCATTGGCGAGGTGAAGTTGGCCCTGTATCCGACCATTCCCTCGCTACCTCCGACCGTAATGGTAAGTGAACGTGAGGTGGTCGACTAGCAATGTTTGACAAGCGAGTAGGGTGTTGACTGGTTTGTGAGATTGCGCATGATAATGTAAACCCCCCTTTCGAGCTCTTTTCTTCATCTTATATTTATTAGTGTACTAATACAGTCGGGGTATCTGACCAGTGTTGTAATATATTGACACTGTGAATATTGACTTTCCAGAATCAGCAATCTGATGATTAAGATACAGATCTATATTTCGTTTCGTTTTTGTTTTTGTTATACTTTTGATGGCCTACACTGCATGAAGATTTGACCGGTTGTAGTGAAAGGTCGCGTCAGAGGTTGTATGAACGGCTTTCGACCCTATGACATCAGACTTTGATTAATCAATCAGCTTTTACCCACATTTCCGTTCATCGCCCGCCAAGAAGTCGCTGTAACAGATGATTGCATTAGCTAACCCCTCACGCCATCCAGAACTCAGGTTATATAACAACTTTTCCAGATCCTGATATAGTACAGACAAATAAAACGAAATTTTAAACTATAAAAACGAAACGAAATAGAATCTGTGTTTTAATCAGAATCAGTCAACTCTATAAATCCCTGATTCATTGATAATTCAAGCATGGTTAAATGGACAATAAAACCCGATAAATACGAAACAGGAACGTGTTTATCGATATTGTAGCTCAAATATTTAGGGATTTCGTTCAAAACTATTTAAGAAATATTTTTACACCCATTTTAAAAAGTCGGTATTTGACCATGCGTTCGCGTTCGAGTCGCTGGTAAATGAATTTCGAACGAAAATGTTATACAGATATCGCTAAAGAAATATATTTTTAACGATTGAAGAATTTTAAAAGAATGGGAGATTATTCTTGTTGTGGTGTTTCGGCTAGAAATATCATCCACGATCGAAAAAGTTCCGGCCTGCTAACCGAGGTTAAAGAGGAATAACTCTTGGCAACAACGATGACTTTACTTTGAAGGTTTCAGTATAACTTTGGTGAGTTCTTTGCCTATATTATTTTATTTTCAGACCCTTATCACAATTTTGTAGCTAATTCTTGTTCAGACAATTGCAGTTTTCTGCTTACACACTCAAACACATTATAAAACTACGTGATGTCTATGATTCGAGCGGTTGCTATGTTAGTTACGTTAGTAACGGATTCTTAGCGGTCTATTTTTCACCTTGATTCTTCTTTGTTCGCCAAAAGGAATCCTTTCTTGCCACATATTCGACACAAATTTATAAAAATACAACACTATTTTCATGTAGATTTAAGCGATCCAAAAACACAAATAAGATGATCGTTTGAATCGATCCGCCATTATGAAACTCACGCCTGTGCAGACCGGAGTTTATGGGTTCATAGCTGTGCTCAGCCAATATTCCAAATTTAGGCATGGAATGTTATAGAATTACCGTCCACAAAAATACTTGATGAACTTCAATTAACGGACAAAACTGTCAGTATGGATACCACTATAGTTTATGTATTCAAGATACATAAACTATTACATATAATTGAAGTACAGCAAGAATTGTCGTTCATGATAACATTCCATTCCTAAATTTGGAATACTGACCGAGCGGTGAAAAATAGACGGAAAGGATTCCTAAATAGCCTTAGAGCCGAGATGTTTTAAAAGCCTAATTTTCATATTAGTTCTGTATAGAATCAGCGAGTAACAGATAGCGGACAGTGTCCGATAAGGATCCGTTACTATTGCTGCGCTAGTCAGGATTTGATCAAAGCGTGATTTAAAAATTCAACTTGATTATGTAAACGTTGGTGCGTGAAGCTAGCGTACTGAAAAGGAAAACAAGATTGTCCATACTGCCGCTGCTTAATTACGAATAACAATTTAGGAAATCTAAAAATGGTTTTATTTAATTTATGA